GCGGCGCGGCCAGTGCGAGCAGCGGCGTCGTTACGGTGTCGAGCGCGGCTGCCACAGGCTCGAGCGTGAGCGGTGACGTGGGCGTCAGCACTGGCGATGCCGACTCCGGCGCGTCGGGATTGTTGTCAGTTGCGTCTGGCGGCAGCGCGAGCGGGTCGAGCGGGTCTGTGGTCGTGTCGAGCGGTGTTTCAGACTCGTCGGACGCAGGCAGCGTGCAGATTCGCGGCGGGCCGACTGGAAGCACGAGCGCGCGCGGGGGCTCTGTGTTCGTGTCGTCCGGCGAGGACGGCGCGGTGAGCTTGTCGAGCGGTGTTCGTCGCAGTGCTGCCGGCGGCACGGTCGAAGTTGTTGCCGGCGATAGTACGGATAGCACTACGGGTGGCGGCTCGGTGAGTGTGCGCGGCGGATCTCTGACGGCGTCATCTGGTGTTGCTGGAGGCGTCGCCTTAACTGGCGGTGTCGGTTCGTCTAGCGCTGCGACCGGAGGCGGCATCGTTCTGGCCGGCGGCGCAAGCGATGCTGGCGCAGGTGGTGTCGTGGACATTGCTTCGGGTGCGGGTTTGCTGGGCAGCGGCGACGTGAGCGTGACGAGCGGTGCTTCTGCGAGCGGAGACGCATTGAGCGGTTCTGCGACGATCGGGAGCGGCGCGTCGGTGGATGCAGCGTCGGGCGTGGTGACGCTGTCTTCCGGTTCTTCGGGGTCGGGTAGCAGCGGCGACGTGTCCGTGCAGTCTGGCGAGGCGTCTACCACAGCAGGCAGTGTGTTTGTGTCGGGCGGTTCTAGCAGCTCGTCGACGGGCGGCGCGGTGTCGGTGTCTAGCGGCACTGGCAGTGTCTCGAGCGGCGTTGTGTCGGTCGGAAGCGGCATTGCTAGCGGTACGTCTGCGTCTGGTGGTGTGTCGGTCGTGTCTGGCTCTGCGGTGGACGGCGCATCTGGTGCTGTTAATGTGGCCAGCGGATCTAGTACAACGGGGTCCGGTGGTTTGCTGAGCGTGGCGGGCGGTTCCAGCGGCGCGGCAGAGTCGGGAGGAAGTGTTCTCGTGACTGGCGGCGATTCGGAGACGGGTTCGTCCGGTTCCGTGGACGTGAGCGGCGGAACTTCCTCATCCAGTGGATCTGGCGGCGCGGTTAGCGTCTCCGGTGGTTCATCTTCCAGTGGTGTGGGAGGTGACCTGATGCTGTCAGGTGGCGATTCCGAAAGTGGTGTTCCGGGTCAGGTGTCCATCGAGACGCAGTCGAGCTCTGACGTTACCCAAGTGGGTGGTATTGCTATTAGCGCTGGCAGTGGTAGCGCTGGCGGAGCAGTGTCTATTGTATCTGGTGATCGGAAGGGGTCCGTTGATATCGGAAGTGACGGGAGTGTTTCTATTGCAAGTGATGGTGGCGACGTATCTATTGACGGTGTGTTTACCAAACAAACTTCTACACAAGAAGCGCTCTTCGAAAATCCGAATTCAAATACGGCGGACGGGATTGTTTTTCGCGTGCGTAATGATATGGTGGTTGGTACCGTTCCAGCACAATTCCCCCAAGTCATATCTCCCTCGGATCGACGAATCAAGACCAACATCGAGGACGTGGACGAGGATGATATTCTTCAGCGGTTGCAGACGCTTGAAATCAAACAGTATCGATACACAGACGAATGGAGACGGATTCGTGGCATCGAAGATTCGGTTGTGCGCGGAGTGATTGCTCAACAAGCTCGCGAAACCTTCCCAGAATACGTCAGTGTCCAAGACTTCTATCTGAACGAAAGCGATTTCGGTCTGATGAACTTTCATCAAATCGATAAGCAGAAAGTCATCCTCGACCTCGTTGCTGCTATTCATGCCCAACATCGACGTTTTCATGTGTCGGCCAATGCACCAGAAAAAAGCGGGGATGTAACCGTGTCTAGCGCAGACTCGGGTGGATACGCTACCAGTAGCAGCACGGCAGGAACTGGTTCTGTCTCGATCGAGTCTGGCAAGTCTGAATCAAGCTCATCTGGCAGTATTCAAATCGTTTCAGGGGATGCCCCTAACGGCCAAGCCGGCAACATTGTTGTTGGTGTTGGCGATAGTAACGACCAGGGCGGCAGTATTTCCCTTGAGGGTGGAACGACTTCTGGTGATGCAAGTGTTGGTGGATCGATTGCAATTTCGTCAGGGGGGAGCAGTGGAGGTACTTCAGGAAGCGTAAGCGTTGGTACAACTACCTCGGGAACTGCCGGTGACTCTGGGGATATTATACTGGCGTCGGGAAATACCAATCTCGGTTCAACCGGTTGGATTGAACTTCTTTCAGGTGACTCGGTGAATGGCAACAGTGGCAGCGTGGCGATCGGCGCTGGTTCCAGCTCAGCTGGAAGTGGTGGACGAGTGACGTTGTCGGCCGGTGCGTCCGGTTCCAGTGGCGCCGGTGGGTCAGTGAGCGTCCAGTCGGGCGCTTCGGCTGGCGGTGCCACTGGCGAAGTTTCGATCTCTTCCGCGTCTAGCTCGGGCTCCAAGGCGCGCGGAAGCGGGAACGTGACGCTGACAACTGGCGATGCGGATACGAGTGTAGGACTGACGTCCATTTCGGGAGGTTTTTCATCGACTGGAAGTGGCGGCAGTGTGCTTGTTGGCGCGGGCGACAGCTCGAAGGCCGCTGGTGGGAGCGTGAGCATCGTGTCGGGCACGTCCGTTGTGGGCGACTCAGGCAAAGTGGGCTTGCGCTCTGCTGCGGTGTCATCATCTGCGAGCAGTGGAGCCGTCCAGATCGAATCGGGTAGCTCCTCGAGCGGTCTGTCGGGCGATGTGCTCATCAGCAGTGGTGCTTCCGCGTCTTCCGCCTCAGTCGGGTCCGTGCGTGTGGCAGGCGGCGCATCGAACTCCGCTAGCGGTGTCGGCGGTGCTGTCGCCATGACAGGTGGATCTTCCAGCACTGGAGGGGACATCGGTGTGAGTGGTGGCACTGGTTCGTCGAAGGGCGGTTCGGTCAATGTGCTTGCT